TTGACTGATTGGTCGATGTTGAGTTCCGGCTGACTCAAGTTTACGTAACTAAATAAAACAAGAAAAGAAAAATAAATTATACAATATATAAAATTAAGATTTACTTCGCGTAATTCAAGTCTAACTTGACGTTTTTCTTCAAATAGACTTTGTCGAGCTTCAAAACGACGTTTAAGCATTTTATCAGTTATTTGACGAATACGATCTTGAATTTGTTGATCACGCATACGTCGAAAACTGACAAAATCGAGAAGAAAATTTTCATATTTGAATTCATAACAATATTTAATACGTTGATTTACTTTTCTTCATTTTCATTGATAGAATATTTCGGTAAATAACTTCGTCGACGTTCATATCTTTTCATATCTAGTTGATTTTTATTCACTATTGGTGCAAAATGAGCATCAATATGAAATGGTGTATGTACAATCGGTTCTTCAAATTCTATTTAAAGAAATAAATATAAAATTTAGTTTAAATTATTAATAAATTACCTTTGCTTGGGTTAAAACTTTTTGTATATAATTGTTGTATTTCTTCATCAACTCTTATATTACGATGCTTTTTTAAAAAATAAACAAAATTATTTATATCTATATATATATAACCAAAGTATGAAAACATACCCTTGATTGTGTAAATGGTCTTTCTTGAGTTATATAGATATCACTTTCTGGATCATTATTTTTATTTGTTATTGTCTTTGTTTTCCTAAATAAATTGCAACTATATTCCAGAGAAAAATCTTCGAACTAATAAATCAACAGACAAATTGTACTTTTACGGTATTTTTTCAAATTTTGATTTGAAATTTTACATAGAGACAGACCATAACAAAAATAGTTTATTGTAAAAGCTTAAAGTCTTTTGATTAACTTCTATTCTGAAATAAGAACATCAAATTTGAGGGGTATGTAAGCTATGTAAAAAGAAAACATCTAATTACCATAGTTGTATGTTCGGATAGGAATAGCAACAACATATGAAAACATGATTTAACTTCTGTTGCTAATCACAAAGCAATTCTTTGATTCTATGTATTTTGAGATATATTTCTTCACCATCCTTAGATTTAATTCTTCGGAAATGCAATAAGGAAGTAGTTCATCAAGTATAACGAAACGTTATTAATATACCGTCTTTGCAAAGTGCTACTCCTATACTTGAACACTCTGTTTAAATCGTGCTTCACAAAAGCTATTCTCGTTAAGATCTGTTTCTATGCAAAAGTGGATATAGAAATTCAAAAATCAGTTTCTGTGTTACCATAAAAGTGCAGTATCTGCGCATATTCATAGCTCATTTGAGTCTGTATAATGGGAAGGACTTCTATCGTAAGAGAAAAAAGTAACATACATTTGCGATAATCTCATCTCAGATTGTGGCCGTGATCTAATTGATGGTGAAGGACGTATTGCTGAATAAGTCATTCGTTTGAATTGTAAACATGATTGAAGATGAGCAGGTAACAGATTTAGAGTTGCTGTTTCGTAATAGCTCGTTTCAGATCTATAGATAAAATAAAGACGATATCAATAAATTTTCGTTTGAATTTATTTCACTTTTTTTTTTGTATCACTCAAAATACTTAGATTTTCGACTGGGTAATGATGGACGATGAGGAGGATTTAGTTTTGTTCGATGTTGATCGTCATCATCATCATCATCATCATCATCATTATCTTTTTCTTCTACTTCTTCTACTTCTTCATCGTCGTCCAAATTATCATCAGATGATATTGATTTATCATTCTCATTAAATTTATCACGTAAATATTGTTGTATAGCTTTAATACCTTGTTTAATTATTTCAAATGGTGGATGTATTAATGGATTACCATCAAGATTTAATGCGGATAATGTTTTAACTTTACCTAAAATTAATTTCAAAAACCATAAACATTTCAAATAAATTGAAATTTTTCTATTTTTTATTACCAAGTTCACAAGGTAATGTCTGAAGATGATTTCCACTTAATAATAAATATTGAAGAAAATTATGTTTAGCGAGATCATCACTCGGTATTGATGTTAATTGATTATTACGTAAATCAAGCCATTTTAAATTTTTTAATCGAGTAAAAAGGTCATTAGGTAATTGAACTAATTGATTACCTTCTAAATATAAATACTATGAAAAAGAAAACAGATGAATAGATAAATAAATAAATAAATATATTATTTTGTTTTAGAAAATGATATTTACTTGCAATGTTGTAAAGTCAAGAAGTTGAGAAGGAAATTCTTTGATATTTCTTTTTGAAAGATCAAGACAATTAAAACCTTGTTGTTGTGCTTTGCTAATAAATTGAATAAGATCATTTTCTTTATTATTATCAATATAAATGATAGAATCAGTTTTAAAACTTTTTTTTTGTCCTTTCATATCGGACAAATCCGATGGAAATTCACCATTATTTATCATGTTGTATTAACACTTGAAAAAAAGTGTCACATTGAAATGTACAATTAAAGTAAATAGTTGACACTTATACAAACATTTTTATTCTACACCATATATCTGACATTTATGACAGGTGAAACCTGGCAACCTGAGGCATATGTCAGAGTTAAATACAGCGCCATCTTCTACGAATTTTCAAAGAATTATTTAAATTTAATTGAACTATTCTATACTATTTTAAATAATATATCCTATTTCCTATGTACAATCATCATCGGTCAATCCTTTTCATTTCAAGTAGTCTCATATCAATCATTTGTATTTGCTTTTCATAGAGTGGTAGAATAAAAAATTTGATTCATTTTACAGAATCTCAAAATTCAATTGACATTATATATGTATATATTAATCAACAATGTTAGAGTATGGCTTGAACTAAAAAGAGAGTTGAAATATATGTTATAAATGAAGAAAATTAGTTGTTTAATAAACAATACAAATTCATTGTCAAAATCATTACATCTCTTAACATTAGTCATGTATTAAAGCGAGATTTTATTTAAAAATTAATATAAGAAGAGATAATATTTAAAAATAGAAAATAAACAGCACCAAAAAATAATTAGAAAGGAATAGTTCACAAAAAAAAAATTCGATCTAATTTTGTATTGGATTATTATCAGTTTTTTCTTCTTTTTTTTCATCATTTTTATTATCTTTCATTGGTGATGATACACTACTTGGTAAATTTTGAATTAATATATGAGGACGACTATCTAATGATGCATTTACTGTTGTACTAGTAATATCCATTTGATTAAATGGATTTTGTGGTATAACAGTTGTTACTGCTCGTGATAATTGTCCATTTAAACCAGAATGACGATAAGATGCATAATCAATTGAAAGTGGCCTTGACAAAAACAATAGAATCTATAGAAGAAAGAACAACAAAAAGAATAAGTAGGCTTCATACTTATGAAATGCTGCAGTTGTTGTATAAGCACGACCTAATTGATCATAATGTGATACAGGATCAACTTTTGTCCAATGTGTTTTTCCAGTATAGAAAGGTATATTTGTTTTACTAAAAATAAATTTATTTATAAAAAGAATTTAAAATAGAATAAAACATACAATGGATTAATACCAAATTTCGGTTGTTCAGTACGTACTACAGTATATGGTTTAAAATCAACTGTTGGATTATCTATGTCTTGTATATGATAACCGCCAATTGTACCTGAATAGCCAGATATATGTTGTGCACGTGGTAATGGTGCAACATTATCAATAGGTTTGCGATAGAAATTAGTATTTCGTAATTGTGTACGATCCCATTCAAGATTTTTACGTGTACGAGCATCATGAAGTGATGTTAAATGTTTAGATTGTAATACAGGATCACTTCCATCAGCTTCATATGTTGTTAATGGAACTGGTAATTTATGTGGTAATTTAGAATCTAAATGTAGAAAAAAAAAAAACATTTTTCGATCAATGAAATAATTATCTATTTAAACTTACCCCATGCTACTTCATTAAAAGAAGCTTGTTGAGCTGATGTATACATAAAATGACGAGCAAGTTCATCACGTTTCAATTGATCACTAACAGATTGTTGTTGTGTACTTGGAACGTAAGTTAGAGTTGAAGGTGCGGATAAACGACCTTGATTTCGAAGATAATTTTCTGCTTCTTTACAATCTTCTTCAGGATTTAAACTACCTGTATGAAGAGAGAAAATATTTTTTGTTTTGAAAAATTTACAAAAAAAAAAAAAAAAGAAAGAAGAGAAATATTGACCTCCTGGACCTAATCGACCACGAAGTGGTCTATCTAAAACTAATCGATCAGTAAAACGTGGTACAATTTCACCATTGGGACCTTGTTCATGTCTGACAAAAACAAAAAATAGAGAAAATTTCAATTGAATTTATTTGAAATTTTTCTTCTACCGAAGTATAGTAATCGCACTTGGATGATTACGTATTGTTGTTGCTTCACTTGGTACAACATGTTGAGGATCAAGACGAGCTTTTCCAAGTGAAAATTTTTTCATCGATGTATTCGACATATCTGTTGGTGGATGATATACTGATTTTGTTGGTTGTGTTGTACTTTCTTCAACTTGTTTACGTACAATATTTTCAAAATATCCTTGTGCTTCATAACTAACATCGGAATTATCCAAATGAAGACGAGTATTTACATTTGGTGCTCGTTGAAGACGATAGAGACGTTTTGCTTGATTTTTATCAATAATTATTGGATCATTACTACCATTGATACGATAGAATGATTCGGAAGCAGGTCGAGTTAATTGTGTAGAATTTTCAAGACAAAAAGGTTTTGATGAAACAATTTGTGTCATGATGAAATGAAGAAGAAAAACGAATGAAGATAAACTTTTGCCATTCGTATAGATTGATGCTTGGCAACTGTTCGTTTCGTTTCTTATTGATCTTTAATATGTAAATGTCGCTATTAAATAAATGATATTCAGAGACATCTGTAGGAAATGATGTATTGAAAATCTTGAATTTATTTTCTTTAAAAAAACGTTAATGAACATATGACGTAATTATTTACAATGAGTATAGATAGTTTTTTTACTGCTGTATCAGATATAACAAATTTAAATGGCACTGAATCTATTACAGGAAATAAAGGTCGTTTCAAAGTTATTCATTTTGATGAGACTGATGAAGGTATTATCAAATTGAAACTGAACAAAAAAGATTCGTTTTTTTTCTTCTTAACTATATAATATTTATAGTTCCATCGATTTCTGCAGTACAAACACAATATCAACATGGTTTACCTACAGAATCAATATCACAACAATCATTACCATCAATTCTACCGGTAAAATCTAAAGAAAATGAAAATATTGGCGAAACAGAATTAGTTGTTGAAAAAGGAGCTAGTTTTCTTAAAAATTTATATGATTATCAAGGTGGAACATTTATGCCTATTGTTGATGATTTAACTAGTTCATCATCAAACGCTCAATTAAATACATTATTTGGTGTTTATCTTCCATGTGTACAAAATATCATTGGTGTTATTGTTTTTATTCGACTTTATTGGGTTATAGGTGTAAGCGGAATTATTCAAGGAATGATTATTATCGGTCTTTGTTGTTTATGTACTTTTCTCACGGCTATTTCATTAGCTGCAAGTAAGAAAATTTATGTTAGAATCCTAGTGAAAGGTAATCATCGAGCAAGAACTCATGAATACGCCTAAATAGGTTTTTTTTGTGTACTCTTATGGTTTATGTAAAATATGCATAAGCTTATATTGTGTTTAGTATGGTCGTATAACATTCGTTTTATATTTAAATATAAAATTAATTTAATAACAAAAAGTACATATGTACATGATGAAAAATCGAATTAAAGAAATCTTCCTTGTTAGAGAAGAAAATGAAATATTTCTTTCTTTTTATGTACCAAAACATAGAAATATCTAACTTTCTTCATTAACAAGGAAGATTTCTATTTCACACAGCGAGAGTACACTAAAACAGTTTCAATGATAATAAAATGTGGGAAAGGAAGAAGGAAAAAAAGGAATTATTCTGTAAAACAGGAACATCTGATCACTAATAAACATGAATTATTGATTACTACACGAAAAAGATACTCAGATAGATAGATGAGATCGAAAACGAACTAAACTATAACGATTTGGGTTGGCTCCTAACAGACACCTGTTAATTTATAACTCTCTACTGTCTTTTAGTAATTAATAAAAAAAATTTTAAAAAATAAAATTATTTTTCTATAGTGTATCATCCAGATGTTTTATGATTTTAAATCACCCTTGATTTGTAAAAAGAGTCGCTAGTTTCTTTTGTTTCGTTGCATTTTATAGTTACTTTGAAAAAGTGTATTTTTAATACAGAATTTTTTAGCTAAATTTAGAAAACTCACATTTGAATATTCAATCTCATCCTACAAGCTAACAATTTAAAATGAAAAGTCACTTTTTCCTTTCAATGTATAAGTTCATAAATGTTTATGCTAAATATTCTACGAAAAAATGAACGTGAACATTCATACAGGCAATTTGTACTCGTGTGATGAATATTTTCATCAGGGAAGAGTGATTGATACTTGTTTTTTTTTTGTATATTTTTAGTTGCAACTAATGGAATTGTACCAGCAGGTGGTTCTTATTTTCTTATATCAAGATCGTTAGGTCCAGCTGTTGGAGGAGCTGTTGGACTTTTATTTTATATAGGTAATGCATTAGCTGGTGGTTTGTATGTATTAGGTGCAAGTGAAATTCTTTTAAAATATACATGTCCGAATAGGTAAATTATCTTTTTTTTTGTTTCCTAATTTTTATTTGAAATAAATAAATGAGATATTTTAGATGTCATTTATTTGGTCCACCTATTGAAAATCAACAAAGTTCATTTAATCATTATCGTATATATGGAACAATTTTACTTTTTATACTTGGTTTAGTAGTTTTTCTTGGTATAAAAATTGTTTCACGTATAGGTAAATTACTTCTTCTTCACAATGAAATCAGAATATTCTGTTTGTTATTTTCATTATTTAGCACCATTTACTTTACTTGTTGTTTTTCTTTCTATTATATCTATTCTAATTGGTATAATAAAAAGTGCAATATCACCTACTTATGTACCAATATGTATTATTGAAAAAAATAATATAAAACATTTAATTAAATCATCTATATTAAAAAATAATGTTATTCATTATTGTCATTCGAATGTAACATGTAATGGAGAAATATGTCCACTTCAACAAATATTATGTATAAATAATACAAATAATAATATAAATTGTAATGATATAAATAATGTTTATTTAATAAATGGAATACCTGGTTTAAAAGATTCACAATTTAGAAATAATTTAAAATCAATGTATATGAAAGAAGGAGAAATAGAAAATGAAATTATAGGTTTGTTTAAGGATTTTTCTCAATTAAACGAAGATGATAGTTTGTGTGTACGATTTAGGAGATTCAAAATTCGAAGTTGTTAGTAAAGCAACAACATCTTTATTTATTTTAAGCAAGTGAAAAATGAAATAAAATCATTGATAAATTTATTTTATTCTAGTTGGAATTTTTTTTCCTAGTGTAACAGGTATTATGGCAGGATCAAATAGAAGTGGAGATTTAAAAGATCCAAGTCAATCAATACCACGAGGAACAATTTGTAAGATTTAGTTTTTAAAGATTTTTTTTTTTATTAATTTTATATTCTAGTGGCCGTTATAACAACATCATTTATCTATATTCTTATCGCATTTCTTCTTGCTTGTTCAATTCAAGGTGTACTTTTACGTGATCGAGATGGTTTAAGTATTAATCAACAACTTGTCGAAGCAGTTGTTGCTTGGCCATCACCTTATGTTATCATTACTGGAGCATTATGTGCTTGTTTTGGTGCTGGATTACAATGGTAAGGGAACTCAATTAAAAACCCTTCTCGGCAATAGAGTGTCTTCAGTTGATAAATAATGTTGTATAAAATTACTGTGGCCAATGTTATATCTGGAATTTAAAAAAAACCTTCAGAATCGTTTTGTATTTTTTGAAAAGCTTTTTTAATAAAAACTATAAGAAAACTTGACTTAATAGAAGATTCAGACAGGGGCGTAGCCAGAGGGTGCACAGAGCGTCTGGGCACCCTCCTTGACCAAAAAAAACGCCTGAAGGAGAGTACAGATAAAAAATCTTTTTCAGAAATAAAAATTAATTTTGCTGTTGGCATCCACCCCTATAATGAGTCGGCACCCTCCTTGGAAAATTTCTGGCTACGCCATTGGGTTCAGAGTCTTCTATTGTGAGCAGGAATTTATACGAAAAAAATATGATTCTATTGAAAAATTCAGTTTGGTTGGTGCTCCACGTTTATTACAATCAGTAGCAAAAGATGATATTATGCCAATATTAAAACCATTTCAATCAACATTTCGAGATGAACCATTTAAAGCTTTATTATTTACATTAATATTATCTGAAATAAGTGTACTTATAGCTAATTTTGATATAGTAACCAGTATGTTGATTTGATTTAAAAAACAAAAAAAAGCAATTTTAGTTTTTTTTTCTATGTTTATTTGTATTGATTCAGCCATGGTTTCTGAATTTTTTCTTATGTGTTATTTATCAGTTAATCTTGTTTGTATTCTTCAAACACTTTTACGTAAGATTTTATAATTTGTAAAAATTTAAAATGTTTTTTGAAAATTTCTCAGATGAACCATCATGGCGACCACGTTTTCGTTTTTATCATTGGTTATTATCACTTCTTGGTGTTATTGTATGTATTGCAATAATGCTTATATCATCATGGTATATAGCATTAATAAGTTTAGCTATTGGTGTAATTGTTTATATTTATATATGGTATGCTGGTGCTAATAAAGAATGGGGCGAAGGTTTAAAAGGTTTACCTATGTCAATAGCACATGTAGCTTTATCACGTTTGGATGATCGACCAATGCATACAAAAAATTTTCGACCACAAATTTTAGCTTTTATTAAATGTATTTATAATGAAAATCAACATCGATGGATGATTGAACATGAAAAAGTACTTGATCTATTAAGTCAATTAAAAGCTGGAAAAGGTCTTATAATTTTAGCAACGGTTATACAAGGTTTGATTTTGTTGTTTTATAATGCTTTTTTTTCTCTCTTGAAAACGAATAAAATATTAAATTTAATCTAGGTAAATATGATGAAAAACGAGATATAGCTGAACAATTACGTCATTATTTAAAAGAACAAATGATTACACATCAAATTCCCAATGGATTTATTGATGTACTTGTTGCAAATAATATTTATGATGGAATTAATTCATTAATGCAAACTAGTGGTGTTGGTGGATTTCGTCCAAATACGGTATAAAATTAGAGTTTATTTTTGATGCAAATACAAGAAAATACTGATAAAATACTAGACACAATTTCAGATTATGCAAACGATTACTTGACAGTGAATTATTTGAGTTTGATGACAAAATCATATCCTAATACTGTTTTATGCCGTTTCAAAAGTGTTTGGAAAAGTTTTCTGTGTGCCATGAGGGAACTTTTCCAGGTGTTTCATTCTTAGAATGTTGAAAGTTCATTGGACTCTTCGTTTTCGTCAGATCAAATACAGACTTGACTGTCGACTTCAAACTTTGCTCGTACAAAGTTTGAAGTCAAAATTTGAAAGTTGATTTTTCACATGATCTGAGAGGAATCAGTAAAGTTTTGATATCTTGAGAACGAAGGCTATAAGGAAAAAAGAAGATTTTTGTTGTACACTTATGTACGAGGAAGATCTTAGGTTTTTATTACATATGAAGAGAGAATGAATTGTACAAAGAAAAGGACTACGATGATAGTTTTTCTTATCAGAAGTATTGTAGATTAGAGAAAAAAATTGAACATGAAAATAGTTAATATTCAAAGTCAGAAAGCTCTATTAGTTTCCTTAATGTTTCAATTATGATCTTTGAATCAGGATAATCGATAATGTCGTATTCGAAATTCTAATATGAGTGTCTTTTACCAGCGCCTTCGTCACATGTGTATTTCAGAATTGTAACCGACTCTCCATAGTGAAAATAATTGAATAAGTCAATTTTCACTAGTTAAGAAAATGATCTAATCATGCCAATTTTCTTGATTGTAATATCTTGAAAGTAGAGTTCGATGTTTTTATGAAACTAATAAAATAACATTATTTCAAAGTACTAACTATTTTGTTGTAGTGTTTTTGCTTTCTACTTGTTAAAAAAAAACGATCAAGATCGGTTTACCTTATGTTGCTGCGTCATTTAAAGCACTAATGTTTAGTTTGATACTAGACTTAACTATAGACTTTTGTTTCAAAAAAGAAATTTGGTTTTTCTGTTAAATCTAAGTGACCAAAATTAACAGTTGCATTACAAAAAACAGATTTCGGAGAAGGTTTCTTTTTTCCGTATCGTGACTGTATGATTCTCAATATTCAAACACAAACACTAGATAATCTTGAAATTGACAAGAAACTTACTAATTTCCTTTAAAAATACTGCATTTGAATTTTTTTTTCTCGTTTAGGTCATGTTTGGTAAATATTTTCTTTAGAAAATTGTTTTTTCTTTCTAAATAAAAAATTCCTATAGATTGGCCAACATCATGGCAAAAATATCAAATCGATAGTCGTATCGATGATACAATCGTTTCTTATCTTGATTCTATACGTCTTGCTGAAAATAAAAATTTTGCTATATTACTTCTTAAAAATATTGATTCATATCCAAGTTTATTAGATATACAAACTGGTTATATTGATATTTGGTGGATAATACATGATGGTGGTTTATTATTTTTATTAGCATTTCTTTTACAACAACATCATGTTTGGAATAAATGTATATTACGTTTATTTACAATATGTTTACCTAATCAAGAACCACAAATACAAAAACGTGAACTTGAACAATATGTTTATCAATTACGTATACAAGCTGAAGTACATGCAGTTATTGTTAATGATCAAGAAATATCAGCATTTACAAAATATCGAACAATGACAACGATAAATTCAAAATATTTTAATCCATTTGATATCAATGAAAAACAAATTAATAATGAAAGAGAAAAATATTTACAAGAAATGTTTAAAAATTATCCAGCTAGTAAATTTACTACAAGATAAAAATAAGTTAAACTTTTGTTTTTTGGGTTTTTTTTTGTTCTAGATGGTGAAAATATTCAATATACATTTACACCATCATCTTTTCAACCAATAAAAGAAAACTATTTAACATATACACTTATTGAAGATTTACAAGTACGAAAAAAAATGCATTCAGCTGCTCGTCTTAATCAAACGATACTTGAACGATCACGTAATTCACAATTAGTTCTTATTAATTTACCTAAAGTTCCTAGAACAAATGTTAATGCTGATTATGCATATATTGAATTTATTGATCAATTATGTGAAGGAATTTATCGATGTATACTTGTTAAAGGAGGTGGTAGAGAAGTTATTACCATATTCTCATGATTATATTTAGTTGAAATAAAATTTGAAGTGTTCATTAGAATGTGAAATGTCTCTTATTGATAAATTTTATTAAAAACAGTTTGTAATCGAAAGAAAGATAAAATTTTGAGGCCCAATCGATGATTAGAAGACAAAATGAGATGAACAATCGATTTCTATTACAATAGCCTGCTTTGAAAATAAAATTCTATAGTTGAAAAACTGTTTTTAATTGTAAATGAGATGTCCTTGGCATCGGTAGAACCTGTTAGGTCCGAAATTCAAGGATCTGGTCGAACAATGCTTTGAGTGACATCCGTACCCTACAGATTTCTCAAAACAGCTAGACTCTATCGGGTTCAAGATTAACCCGATGGTTTCTAGTTATCAGTTATCTCTATTGGAAACTATTTCAACTGATGTCTCCTTTTGGATTTATATTAGGCATACAAGGATATCTTGGTGAGAGTAGCAAAAGTCTAAAAGGGCTCATTCTCATGAGTCTTTGGAGTCGAGTTATGATTGTTTCAATGAATCCGAAACTTTAGTGAAAAGATCATAACTTGGCTCTAAAGGTCCACGAGAACGAACTCTTTTAGACTCTTGCTAGTCTCATCAAGACCTTCTTGTAGGCCTTATATAAGCTCAAACGGCGGGTATTAGTTCGTGTGTTTCCTTCGTAAGTTTTCGACACAATAATTATGAATCCGAATAGAATGAAATCAAATTCTTCAAGAAACATCATTCTTTTGATCACATACTAGATAAAGCACTGATGAACACAATCACACCTATAAACAGAGCTGTTTTTTTTCTAAATAACAAGCTAAATTTCGAAACTTCTTTTTCTTAATGCAACAGATCACTTTTCATAATGTTCAATCTATCTAACTAAATCAATGATCGTTCATTTTCAAACTAAAAGAGACTTTTCATTTGAGCATTTGATTCACACACAAAAGCAACAGTCATCATTATTATAATTCATTTCCAAATAATTCCTTTACAGAAAAAAAAAGCAATGATAAGACAAAAAAAAGAAGACAACGACTAGTAAACACACACGCACAAACAGACATGCAATATTTATTATACAATGCTAGCTCTTGTTTGATAATTAGATGTAACATTATACCATCCGCTATTACTAGCTGTTGATGATGATAATGTTTGAGTTCTTTCATCATTTGATGTTGTTGAACTTGTAAGCATTTGATCAAGTAAAAGAATTCCATTAAGTAATGGTGGTGGTTGTGGTAATTTTGTTTGACTATTTCTTAATGATTGATTAAGAACAGTTTGTAATGTTGGAAAATTATTTGAACGAGTTCGTGGTAAATCATTCAAACTTGGTTGATGTTGTTGTTTATTTATTGATAATGAAGATAGATCATGTTTAGTCGATTTTGGTAATGTACTAAATGTTGAAGGTATATTTTCATGAAAACATGTTAAATTAGGTTGAAATAAATCATCAAATAATGTATTTGTTGTTGGATTGATTAATGTTGGTTCAAAACTAACATTTTTTGTTTGATGACGACGTGATGATTTTCGTGTTAAAGTTGCTAGAGCCGATACAGTTGATGATGTAGGATTTTTATAAGATGTATTAAGATCAGTTGTTGAAGAAGATATACCATTGAAAGGACAAGAAAGAAGTGATGAAGAAAAATCACCATCTGTTGTTGAAAAGCTATTACCAGATGGAACTTGAGAATTCTTAAAAAAAAGAAAAATGAAAAAAACAAGATTCCAAATGTTAGTAAAAAAATGGTTCGTCCAAGGTCATTGACATTTCTTTACAGAAAGACATCTGTACGTAAAGGATTTCTTTTTCACTGATCAAACTCGATCTAATTGACATAAAGAGAAGGTCATTAATTGGTGCATAATCAGTCTCAATAATAGTCATATGCTCAATTGAGCAAATACTAATCATCATCGGTCGATTGTTTTTACATATACAGATGTTAAATAAAAATCATTAGTCTTCGAAAGAAGAAAACCGAACAAATATTCAACTCGTATTATTATAAATCAAACATACTTTTCTTTGTTTATTAATAATTGCATAATCATGATTATGACTAGTTGATAAAATATTCATTTTTGTTTGTGGACTATTTTGTTTTGATTTATCTTCATCATTAACAATTAATCGACTACCATATAAATGTTTTTGTACATCAGATGTATAATGTAAACGTATCCATAAATAATAAATAAGTATAAATATTGTTGAACCTGTTGCTAAAAATGATAAAATAATAATAATTAATAATGAAAAACGTGAAAATGTTCGACGCATATTATTAAATAAATTTAATTTAAATGGATTACGATCATAAATAATAATATGTAAAAATTTTTTTGTTATTAAATCAAGATTTTTTGCTTCTATTTCAATATCATATGTACCAGGTAATATTGATGAATTACGTAACCATAAAGAATTATTTGAACCAATATAAAATAAATCATTATTTGAAATAATTAATTGAATTAATGAATTATTTTCTATATCATTATCTTGTACAACAATATCAGTTAAAAATTGTGATAAAGGATTATTTGAATCAGTACGTTGAGAATGATCGCCAGATAGAACATGACGAATTTCATCAGAATCAGGCCAAATAAATATTGGATAATTATCGTTAACATCTCTATAACAAAAAAAAAAAAAGAAACAAAAACAATATTTTTTTTTTGTATAGAAAATGTCGAACAAACTAATTCCTGATTGATTTTTCTTAATTTAATTTCTTCCAGATTCGATTGATCAGTAATTTAACCCTAATTTGCTAACTAATGAAGATAAACAAAATGAGTAACAACAAATAGTTTATCGGGTTTTTTTTCTATATGTTGAAAGAAATGACATATGTAATATTTCTTCGTGACAGAAGCTTTCTCATACGACTAGGTTAAATAGCCAGATTTATGCTTTGTCAAACTGTTTTCTCTCATATGCTGGGAATAGATCGTAACGATTAGATAGATCGATGTTTAACGTTATACGATAGCATATGAAGTTAAATTATAGATATTTATCTCACAACATAAGAGTATTATACGTGATCTCAGTCTTAATGGCTATCGTCGTTGATCTCGGTTAGAGGTATAAGCCGATGCATTGATCGACCAATGAGACTTTTCGATGAATTTTTAAAAAATGTTTGTCTATTTCAAGAAAGTTTGAAATGTAAAAGAAAGAAAATGATAATAGAGAACCTATTGTCAAGAAGCTAGATTAGTATCGTTCGATTGTATAGAAGAAGATCAAAAAAAGAAAAATTTTTACTTGATTTTAATAATAACTGTACTTGATCCAATTAATTCAGCTGTTGAATTATCTGTTGCAACAACTATTAATTGATATTCATCTTGTATTTCTCTATCAAATATAGCATTACTCCAAATATTTCCATTTTGATCAATAGTAAATAAATTATCATTGTAATTCAATGAATAATTAACATAATCTCCATAATCTCGATCAAATGCTTTAACTTGTCCAATAAATGTCATTGTACTATTTGTTGAATTTTCATAAATAGAAAAATTATATATTTTCTTTTCAAATTCAGGTGAATATTCATTTTGATTAAGTATATTAATTTTAACATAAGTCATTGAATCAAGTGAAGGTTTGCCGTAATCACATGCTCGTACTTGAAAATTATATTCACGTTTTAATTCATAATCAAATGAAATATTTGCTAATATAATACCATCTGTTGATGATATAGAAAAAAATGATGATGATGGTATTATTGTATATTTTATTTGTCCATTTAAACCTTGATCAGCATCATAAGCATTTACTTGACCAATAGTACTTGGTATTTGATTATTTTCAACTATATCAAATGTATAATTACTTTTAAATATTGGTTTTTCATCATTAACATCAGTTATATTTAATTCAAATGTCATTGAACGACGTAAACTTGGTTGACCAAAATCACGTGCATATAATTCAATACGATATGATGATACGGTTTCACGATCAAATCGACGTATAGCTTTTATTGAATAATAATTTACACGTATAATTTCAAGATAAAATAAACGATTTGGTTGAATTGTTAATTGAGACTAAAGAAAAAAAAAATCAAAGAAATTTTTCAAATTAAATCAGTACATCTATATGCATCATGACAGTAAAGAGTTTATCTAGCTAATTGAAATAAAACATGTAAAAAGGAAATTCTTTACAAATTCTATTAACAATAATTTACGAAAGATTATGAGTATTCGAGACAGTAGTAGCGTAGCGAAGAGGGATGTGCCTTTCTTTTACTAAATCAAACTGATGCTATCCAAAATCTTTCATGAACCCTTCTGCTAGACAGAACTAATCGTTTTTGAATAAATTTTCATTAAAAAACAAGCAGTGAGCTGTAGTTTCCACTATTCAAAAGAATAATGTTAGATGGTATAAAACTATATTATATTTTATTAATTTGAAGGTAATCGATTCGATAAGTTTTTGTTGAAGGTATTTGAGAATAATTGTCTAGAACATTTTGTCATTGTATTTAGTTTTACTTCCTCTTATTTGTGAAGAGTAGTTTGAACTGCAAATTTATGCAAGACCGAGAGTTGACATCGTTTAAGAGTTATGAATATTTTCTAGAAATCACTGACTTCAAAGAACTGATCTTGGTTTATCTCAAAACAAATTAAACGAAAGCCTAGTGATAAAGCTTAGAAATGCTAGTTTTTGGTTCCATATGATCTCTAGAACACATTCTGGAAATTATGATCCAATGACTTATAATTAGATTGAGACTGAAAACAAAAATCACTACTGGAATTGACGAAGTATATTACCTCATGTGTTGACATGCTTTGAGATGACCCAAATTAAAGCATAATATAATTGTATAGTTCCTATCGTTTCTCTTTTCAATGGAAAGAAGCATAGATCTCTACTTGCTTCCTATCAAAAGCTATTTGTAAGTAATCGTTCTAGAATTATCCTTAGGTTAAAGTATAATATTCATTTAAAT